CTTTACCGTTAATAATTAAATTTATATTTAAAAATTTAATCAAAGCAAGGCCTGAGAATGTTACCGGGGCAAGACATGAGTTTTAAAATTAATAAAAAATTTAAAAAAATTTAATAGGGCTGGAATTAATTAAAAACTTCTTCAAATGCTAACTGGTTCCAATCTAGAGCTCTAATTATTTTTAATTTAATTTTAAAAATATTTTTTCAGATTTTTAATTCATTATAATGAATTTTAATATAACTAGAATTAAATTATTTATTTTTTTAATTTTTGCCTTTGTTGGTAAAATTGGGGCAAAATGTGGTAGAGAAGAATGTAAATAATTAATTAAATATTTTTAATAATATTTTTTAATTTAGTTTCGCATGAAATTCTATATTTGGCTGATGGGCAATATTATAGTCACTATGTTCTGGCTGTAAGTTTAAATTAAATTAATGTTAATAATTTATTTTTATTTTTTAATGCATAAATTGGTTAGGTTTAAAAAATCATAACTTTATTAATTTTTAACTAAAAATTTTGAAATTTGGAGGGTTGATAGGTAACACTATAAACTTAAACTAGCCAAATTTCATGTGGTCAATTGCAATTTTGGCAAAAAAATTTTTTAATTTCAATTTTTTAAAAATTTTTTCAGAGAGAAATGGCAAAGATTTTGAATGAAAATTATTGCGTGGTAAATTAATTAATTTGAATTAAATTATAATTGAATTAAAATTAATTAAAATTAAATTATAGACATTTTTAATTGCAACGTACGAAGGAAAAAATACTCATCCTGTCGATCTTGAAAAAGAAGTTCAAAATCTTTTAAGAGAAGATATTAAAGCTATACTTCTTCCAATTGATCAAGAATATGAAAATAGTAAATTTTATACTGGCGGAGTTGGTCTACTTCCAAGCAATTGGGATCAAGAAAGTATAACAACTAATTTGGATATTTATTGGAAAATGACTAAATGTAGATCAGTTACATTTTTTCAAAGTAAGAGGAATTTTATAAAATTATTTTTAATTAAATTTACTTATTTAGCTGTGATAAAAAATGTTCCTGTTAATGTGGATGGTCGTCATTATGGAATATTTGAATGGCTTAAACATCAAAATTATCAATTAGGAATAGCAGAAATAGGTTCAATAACATCAGGATTTGCTTTATTTAATGAATTAGGAATTGAAAAAACAATTGCAACTACTGCAACTCCTGCTATACCTGTTTTTTATCATTTTTTAGGATTAAAAATTCCTATTGATGTACCTGGTTAGTTATTTATTTTTTTAATTTTTAAATTAAATCCATATGTTAAATCTTAAATTAAAATAATTTTAAATTTTTAAGAGCATTATTCTGCATCAAAAGGTGACGGATTAAGAAATGCTAAAATTCGTAAACCAGGAAGTGCTCGACAAATTCAAAATAATAATAATTATAATGAATTAATTAGAAAATTTACTGAAATATATGATACCGAATATGAACAAAATTATAATGTTCAATTGAAAAATTTATCAGCAATGCCACTTAAACCTTTTAAATCACCTAGAGCTTTATTTTCTAATGTTAAATATTTTTTGGTTAATCATTCTGAACTTGCTGCATATCCTAGAGATTTAAATAATAAAATTAAATTTATTGGAGGAATTGCAATTGGTGATCAAATGTTAGAGAATTATCAAGCTAAAGCTTTAAATAATAATGATTATTTGACAGATGGTGCTTGGAATAATAATGTATAAAATTTATTTTTTAACCAAAAATTTTGAAATTTAAAACATTAATAGCTAATACTATAAGGGTTCTTCGTGCCAAATTTCATTAAATTTGGTTCTATATTTGCAAAGTTATAAGTTCACAAATATCATGTACTGCTCCAAAATGTTAATTAAAAATTCTTTTATTTAATATAATTATTTTTTTTATTTTTTAGGTAGAATGTTTTGGTTTTCTTAGTATTGGAACACTTGCATCTTTTAATGGAATAGATCAAGAAAAGTTAAACACAATGTATCGTGCACTTGGCAAACACCCCGAATGCCATTTTTTGATAAGAATTGATAGCGCACATTTTCCTAATGATCAACAAAAAAGATATTTTAATTTAAACAATGTTGTATTTGTTAATGAAAATATTTTTCAACAAGAAATTTTGGGTTAGATTTTTTATATTTATTAAAAAAATATTTTTGGCACAAATTTTTTTCGACATTTTTATTTTTTTGAATTATTTAATAATTTTATAAATTAATAATTAATTAATTTATTTATTTAATTATTAAGCCCAGAAAAATACAAAAATTGCTATAATACATTGTGGACAGAATAGTTTAACTGAGGTAATTAATTGAATTTAATTTTTATTTTTTAATTTAAAATAATTAAACCAAAGGGTGTTGGTTTAACTAAAATAAAAAATTTAATTTTAATTTAAAATTAAAAAAGGCTTTATATGCTGGTGTTCCAGTAATTTGTATTCCTTTACTTGGTGATCAACGTTATAATGCTTCAGTTGTTGAATATCTTCAAGTTGGTATTTGGGTTCAAGCTCCTCATTTTCACCAACAATTTGAAGATGCTTTAAATAAAATATTAAAAAAACGGTTAATTTAATATAAAAAATTAATTAATTTAAATAGTTCACAGAAATAGTTATAAACAAAATGTTAAAAAACTTGCTAGAAGAATATGCTTTGAATGTGCTTTGAATAAAATATTAAAAAAACGGTTAATTTAATACAAGATTCTCATTCGTACTTTTTTAAAAGTATTCTACTTTTAAATCAACATTTTGGATTGAAAATGAAATTGGGGAAGACAGTGGGTAAAAAGTAAATTTTTTGGCCTACGGCCTTCGAAATTCTCAAAATTTTTGCTTGCGCGCTAAAAATAAAAATTTTTGGCGGCGCAAAAAAATTCGGCGCAGAAAGTACTTTTGATCGGCATTTTGTCAATGAGAACCCTGATTTAATATTAAAAATTAATTAATTTAAATATTTTACAGAAATAGTTATGAACAAAATGTTAAAGAACTTGCTAGAAGGCTTAATGATCCTAATCGTGATCAGGGTTGTCGTTTCCAAACCACTAAAATGGGGCGCAGCCACTCAAAAATAGGGCAAAAATAGGGCGAAATCAGTCAAAAATATGGCAAAAAATAGGGAATTATTTTAAAAAAACATAAAAATAATTAAAATTTTAAATAAATTCCGCATGTTCTCCACTAGTTTTAACTAAATTTCTAAAAAACAGAAAAGTTCAAATTAGAGACCGGACTGGAAATGTCGTACGAGAATCGTACAAGATGTCTCGAATCTCGAAAAACTGAAATTTTTATCGTACGACAATCATACGAGATGTCTCTAAAAATCTCGATTTTGATTCTTGATGATCAAGTTTTTCTTCAGAAACCGATAGATTTCTTCCATTTTTAGCAAAATTTTGAGAATTTTGAAAAGTTATAAAGCCAAATTTTGAGAAATTATGAAGACCAATAGGAGAGATTTCTATTTTTTCAGCGCCGCAGGCGAAAATTTTGGGAATTTTGATGTCCAAAAGTCAGATTTCTTTCTTTTTTCGCATTTTATTTACAAAATCCCAGAAAATTTGAAAAATATTACAAAATGTTAAAAATAGGGCAAAATATGGCAAAAGTTATAAATAGGGAAAAAATAGGGCGAAAAGATCAAAAATAGGGAAAATCCCCTATAAATAGGGTAAAACGACAACCCTGATCGTGATACATCAAAAGAAATATTTCTTCAAGCAGTACATGATGCATTAAATGTTGATGATGAAGCTTCTTTTGTTTATAATGAAGATATTCAATTTGAATATAAATTGTATGTTTTTTAAATTAATTAAATTAATTTTTATTTAATTTTTAGAGGAAGAAACTTATGAGACGATGTTGAGTAAATTCGAATTTTTTATTTAAAAAATTATTTTTGCTCTATTTGGATGTTAGATTTTGGGCAAAATATCTTTTTAAATCTTTCCTTTTTATTTTAAAATTTTTTTCTTTTTCTATTTTATGATTTAAAAAATTTTTTAAATGAAGTATAAAAATTCTTTCTAGTAATTTAATTTATTTTATAAACACAAAATATCAAACTTATCTTCTCTTAAGACTTCTAATTTTTTAAATGATGTTCAGATCAATTTAATCCAATTATTAAAAATAATCAACTTTTCAAGAGCTTTAGAATGATATATTGTTTAAATCGGTTGAATAATAAAAAAGATTATTAAACAAATACCGCTTAATAATGAGAGAAAAACAATTTACTCTCTGATCTCTAACCTCACTTGATAATTAAAAATATAAGTTAGATAAGTTTAAAAAATCATAACCTTATTAATTTTAAACTAAAAATTCTGAAATTAGGAGTGTTGTTAGCAAACACTATAAGCTTCATTTTTACTAAATGTCATGTGACGAAGTGCAATTTAGGCAAAGTTAAAGATTTTTAAATTAATTAAGTTTAAATATTTTTATCACATGTGCTTCTATATTTCAATATTATCGTAGGGTGTCCTTTCGTAGAGTGTCCTTTAATAGGGTGTCCAATTCTATCGTAGGGTGTCCTTATATTAAAGGGTGTGCTTCTATTAGAGTTTAAAAATCTATAACATTTTTATTAGCTATTTGGTAATTTTGCTCGTCTTGATCAAACTGGCTCACCAAACCTAAACCCAACTTCTTTAAATAAACTTGTATATTTATTGAGTATTTAAAAGAAGATATTAAACTATTTATTATTAGAACCGGGACATAATAGGATCTTTCCCGGAAAAAATTCTATAACATTTTTATTGAAAGTTTGGTAATTTATTTTTAGATATTTTTTAAGAAATATATCGATTGATTCAAAATGATCAATAAATGATACAAATATCGATAACACAAAGATGATTTATAATTGGAAGTTAATTAAGAATTATTTTTAAAATATTTTGTTTTCAAGTAAATCAAATTTCCGTTTTATCCTTTCAGATTTTATTCTTTCATCTTTTTGATATGAATACGATAAGTTATACCATCATTACATTTTTCATTATAAAGTGCAAATTTCATTTGTGGATTGTAAATATTGGCTATTTGGTAATTTTGTTTGTCTATTTTTTCTGCTCTTTTACTGAATTTAAAACGGAAAAAAGCAGAAGTAGAAAAATAAAAAATAATATGAGGTACCATTTTTGAACAATTTCTAGATGTTGTTATATACTAAAATTAAAATTTATTTTTTAACTTATTTCCAAATATGTAGATACTTCCATGATAAGATCATATAGCCTTGATAATTTATTACTATCTAAATGAATTTTTGGTAATTTATTGCCTTCATTAATTAAAATATTAAATAAAATATTTGTATTTTGCTCAGTAATGTCAAGAGAATATAAACTGGCGTAAAAGAATTTAGAAATTGTCAAATGATTTAAAACGAATTTCAAAACATTCTCAAATATTTTATTATTAGTACTCATATATAAGCTTTCAAAGTGAAACCGAGGAGGTATTGTTTTTTCGCTGTCGAATAAAATACTGATCATTTCTGGGTTAAATACAATACTAGCTAAATGTATCTGCCCATAAACACACTTAAATAATCGCTCCAACCAGCATCGAACAGTAATCATATCTTCAATATTTTTTAGAAAGTTTGGCAGTTTTAATGAAAAAATTTTTGTTTTTTTGTCGACTAAAAAGAAAAATGGGATATAAAAATAATTATTTTGAAAAATATTTTAAACATTTAGATATACAAACAAAGGTTCTGTCAGATTCAAATTTATGTAAAAACAACGGAATTGATCTGTCTATCGCTAATTGCCACTAAAAAAGTGGAATTAAATTAATATAAAATTAATTTAACCTTATTTTTAAGTTGATCATTTAAAGTAAATTCAAAAACTTCAGATATAAGTTCAATAGCGGTATAATACGGATTTTTTATATTTGGATTTGTCTCAGTCTAAAAAATTGAGAGTATATAAATGAATAAATATTTACAAAGAAAAAGTTATTAAATTCCATCCGTGCCAATTCTCCCTCATATTTTTTAATTAAATTGTAAAAGTAAAAATAAGTTAATTTTAAAGAAGTTAATTGATTATAATTAAGACATTTTAATATATCAAGTTGAACTTCAGTTGGCAGAACAAACATTTTAATTATCTAAATAAAGCTATAGATGTATTTTAGCCGGTGGCTAAAGTATCAGTAAATTTGACTAATTCTGTCTGGTCAGAACACTCTATGCGATCTTTCTCCAACGTTTATACTTAACTATTACCTCGCCACAAAATGAAAAAAACTTTTTGAATTAAATTGTTAATAAAAATTTTTTTCCTCCATCTAATTCCCAGCCCCACTCTTTACATTGGATTGACATACTTTTTTTAAATATTGTAGAGAAAGGACGCTTATCTTCCCAGTAAAAATGTCTGGGTCACATTGAGGAAAATTCTCCTATATTAAACTCAAAAACAGGAAACTTTCCCCAATAAACTTCATTTTTAAACTTTACTTTCCAATTTTATACATAAAGCCTTTTCAGTTATTTTTTACTTTTGAATTTTCCAGAAAATTATTTTCTAATGAAAACAAAAGAACAAAAACCATTAGAAAAATGGTCATTTTGTACTAACAGTTCTGATAACAATAATTGTTCAAATAACGTTGAAGATGAAACAAATTCTGTAATTGTAGTAGATGAAGAAGTGGAAGAACGTTTAAAAGATTGTTGTGGTTCTTGTTGTTTATCACAAAATACAATTAAATATTTGTTACAACGTATAGAGAAATTGGAGGTTAAACAAATTTGTTGAGAAAATTATTTAAAATTTTTAAAAACCTAATTAAGACAAAATTTTGAGTAAAATGCAGAATTATCGGAGGCTAAAATTTAATTTAAATCGGGAGATATTTATAGCAAAAGTAGAAGTTTAATAGATCCTTGAAATGCGGTTTGCGTTGATTTTTGGCAGCACTCGAACTATTCTATTTCCTAGATTTTCTTTTCTTTCTACTTCCATAAGTATTGCAAATATTCAGAGCTGTAATGAAATAAATCTAAAATATTTTTTAACTTAAAATATTTGTCAGACCATCATGTGCTTTAATATTTGCAATTTTTATTAGAAAGTAAGGAAAAATTGTGAAAATAAGAACTAATTATCTTAACTAATTATTTTTTAAATTAACACATTTTAATCAGGAGATTAAAAAAAATTTAAAAGGAAACAAACAGTAACAACAAAGAAAAATATGAAAATATTGAACAGCAAAATGTTGAGAATTCAGACAAAATTGCAAATTTAGAAAAAATAGTTCAACAAAAAGACGTTAAAATAAATTTGTTGGAAAGTGAAATCAAAAAGGTTTAATACCAAACATGACAAAAACTTCAAATATTTTTAATTTAAATTTAGCAAATGAGCGATGTAAAGTGTGATTATTATAAATATTTAATGGAATTTCAAAATGAAATTAAGCAGATAAAGTCAGAAAATGAGGCTAAAATAAAAATTATGAAACAAAAAAATAAAGAAAAATTCCAGCAATTGGAGACTGAAAATAAAAACAAAATTTCAAATTTGGAAGAAATTATTAAACAAAAGGAAGTAAAAATTATTTTAAAATTTTATTGCTTTTACTTAAATTGTATCACAGATTATCTAATTTAAATGAATAGAAAAGTCTGAAAATCTAAATAAAATTCAGAAATTAAAGCGTCCATTTATGGCAATTCTAAAAAACATACAACATATTTTATAAATTATAGGGAAATGAAACGATCGCCGCTTTAAATAAAAAAATTGTCAGATTAACAGAAGAACAAGAAAATTTAATTTACTATAGTATTTTTAAAAGAACGGTTGATATTTAATTTTTAAATTATTTAAATAACAATTTATTTAGAAATATATCCAAATTAAAAATAAATGGAAAAATATTGATGATCGATACAAATGTTGTGAAAATAATTGTATAAATACAGATACACCAACTGGTAAATGCAAAAACGGAAATGGATTTATTGAGCTAATTAATGAAACAAATATTTGGTACAATAGATGTATGGAAGGGAAAGGTACTATATTAGAGGGGGGTGGTTGATGAATAAAATATTAAAGATAAGATTAAGACAAAATCTCGAACAAAAATCTCGGTAATGCTACCTGCACTTACATAAAAATAGCTAGGCAACAAGATGGGGCGACGCGCTGTTTTATTATCTATGCCAACGTCTTGTTGCCTAGCGATTGCCTGCTAGTTATATTAAATTTTGCCCTTTTTCGGGCAAAGATTAAATAAGTAATGATCGTTCATAATATTTTGGGTTCGGAATAAAATTATATTCAGAATACACGATTACCTACTGGCAAACCTCAAAAATATCGACAAGCATAAAATATTTTTGCAAAATATATAGCTTTTTACAAATCTTGATATGTATGTACCAGGGATGTCACGGGTTGAGAAAAATGTCGGGTCGGGTTTCGGGTCGGGTTTCCAAAATTTTTCTCGGATCGGGTTGAGCAAAAAGTCGGATCGGGTTTCGGATCGGGTTTTCAAAATTTTCTTCGGATCGGGTTTCGGGTCGAAAAAAGCCAAATTTTGGAAGGCCAAAAAGCCAAAAATCTTCCCTTCTCAGCGCCGCAGGCGAAAATTTTGAGAATTTTTGAAGGTCCGAAGCCAGATTTCTTCCTCTTTCAGCGCCGCAGGCGAAAATTTTCAGAATTTTGAAAGATCATTAAGCTAAAAATCTTCCCTTTTTCTGCGACGCGGGCGAAAATTTTGAGAAAACTCGGGTCGGGTTTCGGGTCGGGTTTTGAAAAATAAAAATTCTCGGGTCGGGTTTCAGAAAATTTCTCGGATCGGGTTTCGGGTATCGGGTCGAAAAAAAGGCCGGGTTGGAACGATGGAGATATTCTCGGTTGTGGATTAGTTTTCCCTCCTGCAAAAATGTTAGGAAAACTTCCATATGTTTTCTTTACACAAAATGGAAATCAGATTGGTGAGGAAATTTAAAATTATTTTTAAGTTAATGCTATTTTTAAGGTAAGGCAATATTATGGAGAGAAGAAAGTGATTATTATCAATTATATGTTAACTTAAAATCGCATTCTATTGAAACAAATTTTGGCAATGATTTGAGTGTCAAACCATTTTGTTTTGACATTTCTAAGCATTTATTTGCTGAGGAGTTTTATAATTAAATAATTTTGTTTTTAATTATTATTTTCATTATCGTTTTCTTTATATTATTTTCTCTAACTTGATTTTGATTTTCAAAATTTTTGGTTATTTCTTATTAGAGCCCGGCTCGATACGATATTTTTTCGATATTTTTCGGTATTTTTCGATATATATTTTTCGATATTATCGAAAAAATATCGACCGAGAAAATTTTGACTTTTTCGATATTTTTCGATATTCGGTATTTTTCGATATTTATCGAAAAAATATCGACCGAGCCCTCCGTCCGGGCTCTATTTCTTATGTGCGAGTAGTAGTATGAGGGTGCTTGTACTTCGTATATGGGTAGTACGAAGTACGTGCAATTTGGAATTAAGCTTTAAATTTAGAAAAATCATGATGCAAATGCATTTACTAAACGAAAATAGTTCCTAATTATAAAATGCCATTAAAATTATAGAGATACAAATTTAAGAATCCTTAATCTCAAAAAGTATATTAAATTAATGACTATGAATTAATTACACAATTTTACTAACAATAAATATGATTCAACAATGCTTATAAAATAAAAATTAAGATATGTGAATACATGATTTTTAAAGAGAAATTATTAAAATAAATATATCGGCTCTATCCTAATTTACGAATCAGTAAACCTTGTCAAATGAAATTTAACAAGTCCGATTAAAAAACTTCGAGTGTAATTGCTCATAAACTAGAACATAGCCAATATAACAATATGCTTTATAAATTTGTTTTAACCACCAAACCATCCCTTCAAGTTCTTCCATGCAAATGTAACACCACTTTTAATTCCCCCAGCAATAGTTAAGGCCGTTGAAACTAGAGCCCGGACCGATACGATATTTTTTCGATATTTTTCGGTATTTTTCGATATATATTTTTCGATATTATCGAAAAAATATCGACCGAGGAAATTTTGTCTTTTTCGATATTTTTCGATATTCGGTATTTTTCGATATTTATCGAAAAAATACCGACAGAGAAAATTTAAATATCGAAACAATCGACCGACCAAATGATAAAATATCGAAAAAAATATCGAACGTCATTTTTGTCAAAAATTATATTTTTGGCGCCAAAAAGGATAAAAATGGAAGAAATCTAGCTTCTTGGTCTTCAAAATTCTTAAAATTTTCGCCTGCGGCGCTGAAAATGAAAGTAATCGTGTAGCCTGGTCTTCCAAAATTCTCAAAATTTTCGCCTGCGGTGCAAAAAAGGAAGATTTCTGGCTTCTTGTTCTTTGGATCACTAATATAAATAATTTTTACTTATGACACTGTAAATGGAAGAATATTGCCAGCTAGAGATCGGAAATTTTGAAAGGCCTGGGCCTGTTCCTGGGTTCCGGATTTGATCTATTGACCTGGGCCGGATCCTGGGCCTGTAGTCCAGGAAAAACCCAGGCCAG